AAAAAAAAAAAAAAGTCCCACAGGGCTGTGTCTCGTCCCCACTAACCACTTCCACAGACAAAGCCACATCCTCTCCCAAGAGAGCCCCTGGGGTCCTCCTGAGGTCTCAGAGCACCTCACTGTTTCCTCCTGGTAAGGGCCAGCCGGGCGGCCGAGGAGGGCAGGGGATGGTCCAGGCGGGATGGTCCAGGGGTCCCGGCCCTGTGTGAGCCAGCCGGTCTCTCCCACAGCTGTCCCAGGGAGCACCCTTCTGCCCCCCTTCCCCTGCATGAAGCCAGCCTTGGGCACCCCCCACGCTGGGGGAGGACAGTCACCAAGCAGAAGAGGGGCAGGTCTCCCACTCTCCCTCCCACACCTTGGGAAGGTCACAGGAAGGGGGTGGCCTTGGTTTCCCTGACTGGGCTGCAGGAAGGCAGCAGGGATCTGGGGACAGGGCACTGGGAATGGCTGGGGGAGGGTGGCAGTGTGCTCGAGGCAGCCCTCTCCCAGAGTCTGGCTTGAGGAAGGGGCCCCGGCTGAGAGACGAGTCAGAGGCCTGGGTCTGACCAGATGCTCCCCCCCACCAGCCCTCCCCTGGTTGGCTTCTCCCGCTGGCAGCTCCCTAGTGCTCGGCTCGGCACTGGGTGAACCTTCTGAGCTAAGCTAGTGGTGGTCCTGTGGCCATCCCGCTGAGGAGAGGAGCCTGAGCCCAGGGAGGTCACTCGGCACACACGGGGCTTTCTGGTTCAGCTGTGGGTATGCTTTCTCGGGAGTCAGGGAGGCTGGAACCTAAACCCCAGCTCTGGAAGGCAGGTCAGCAGTTGAAGGGATGAAGGCTGAGAGCCCCTGGGGGCAGGCCCATGCCAGGAGAGGGGAAGGTCCTGGAGAAAGATCACTCCCAGGGACCTCCAGCCTTCCCCTCTCGCAGCAGCCAGGAAGGGCAGACAGGGTGTCCCAGGCCCCTAGGCCAGGTTGGGGAGGGGCTGCTGTCCCCTCAGGGGCTTGGGGGGCTGTGCTCTCCCCCCACGGAGCCCCCCACTCCCCTATGTCCGGGCATGTCGAAGAAGAAGAGGAATGGGCAGGAGGCAGCAGTGACTGTCCCCCCCAAACACACTCAAAGGGAAATGAGCTCCAGGACCTGAGCTCGATGTCTTGCCTGGCACCCACCCATGACCCCCACCACCTTGTTCTCTGCCCAAGTGCTCAGCTTCCAGCTCCCCTGACTGCTGTGGGACTGACCTAGGGAGGTGAGGGGAGCTCACAGTCAACAGGGCTCAGGCCATGGAAACCAGGGCACCGGCCGCCCTGCGGGGGAGGCTTAGCCCGCTTCCTCCTCCCTCCCTGTGCTCCCCCAGCTTCCTGTTCTCATAACAATCACCAGCCTTGCCCAGAGGGGGTGGCCCTCTTTCCAACACCCCTTGCCCCCTCTTGGACCTCAGGGCCCCACTATTGACTCTCAGGTTTGGGGGGGCGGCTGAGACAGAGGCCAGCCTCGGGTCACTTTCCACAGGTATCCAGGGACTCCCATGCTCTCGGGGGCTGACTGCAGCCCAGCTCTGATCAGCTTCCTTGTGGGAAAACCATCCCCAGGGAGGGAGGGTCCAGGACCAGCTGGCTACAGAGAGGAGCCCGTCCCTGGTCCCCATGGCCAAGAGCAGGGGCCATGCTGGGGGGCTGCCAGCCCCAAAGGGTCGTCCTGTTCACCTCCAGCCCCCTTTCCCACGGGCCAGCCCTGCCCACCGCCCCTCCTGCGTTCCACCCCGGAGCCTACTGTACATCACTTCTTTCTGGCTGTCACCGTTTGACGGCTGAATGAGAGAAGTGGGAGGAAGAGATAGGACGGTGCAGTGTGTGGGGGGCCAGGAAGGGAAGGGTGTCTGGAATGTTACAAGGTAAAGGGAGACAGAGGTGCCGCGAGCATGAACCAGCTGGGCCTGCGGAGGCCAGGCGGGGGGGGCAGTGGAGCCCTGGACCTGGGGGCCACGCTCCAGGCGCCCAGCAGGGAAGAAGACATGGGAGCCCCCTGGAGTGAGGGTGAGGACTGTCCACTCTCTGTAAGTCTTCTGAGTAGATGTCAGGGCCCTGGAAGGAGGCCTGGAGGGGACTGGGGCCAGCAAAGGCCCCTCAGACCCTTCTATAAGCCGTCTCTGCTACCTTCTCCCAGGCGACCAGCCCATCTCCGACCAGAAGCAGCTGGGAGCTGGGGTGCGGCTCAGGGCCTGGGGATGACCCTCTGGGCCTGGCCTGGGCCTCTCTGGCCCACTGAGGAATGGGGTTCCTGCCTCTTCTCCCGCCCACCCCGTGGGTGCCCAGCTCTGCTCCGGGAAGACACAGCCCATGCCTGACCGTGAACTCCCCACCCTGAAAGGGGCCAGTGCGACCAGGGCCAGGGCTCTGAGGCAGGAGCGGAGAGGTGGACATCGGCCTCTGGCCAAAGTCGGCCTGAGCAGCAGCCACCTGGGGGTCAGCTGAGCTCTGCCCAGTGAGCAGGCAGGTTGGACGTGACCAGCCCAGCAGAGAAACAGCCCAGGAGAAGGGTTTGGAGCAGGGGAGCTGGGTGGTCAGGAATGTCCGGCTCGCGTCCAGTCCCAGGAGCAGGGCCTTGGTCCCAGGACGCTGCCAGCCTGTCCTTGGAGGGGCACAATGGGAGGCACCCGACCCCTGGTGGCAGCAGGCGGGCAGCGTGCAGCTGGGTGTGCGTGGGTGGCAGCTAGGAGGGGCGGAGGGAGGAAGCTGGCTTCCTGAAGCCTCCTTAGCCTCAAAGACAGACCGACAGACAGACAGACAGCTGGCAAGAGGCAGCCTGCGGGGTACAGCTACTCCGGTAAGTCCAGAATGAGGGGAGGAGGAGTCCTGCGGCCCTGGGGTGGTGGGAGCCCTGGGGAGACAGGCGCACATCTCTGAGGTGGATGCATTGGGTGCCATAGTGCCCGGCTGGGGAATAGGTGCAGATCTAGCTGATGTCGTCCCCAAGGGGGCCAGGCAAGGGGCCCCAGGGGGCCGCTAGGAGAACAAAGCTGGGGAGCCCTTCTTGCTGGGGGAGAGCCCCTCTGTGCCACTCACACCGCACAGGCCACTCTGCCCCCTCGCCTCGGCCCCTGCGGCCTCAGGAACTCTAACAGTCACACACACACGCCACACGCAGCTCGGAAGTTGTGACCCTGGCTCTGGAGGATGGGGACTGTCCCCCAAGAGGAGACGGCACCCATCTCCTGCCCCTCTCCTGCCCCCACTGTCGCCTCACCATGCGCTGTCGCCCAAGGGCTTGGTGAGGCCATTTCCTGTGACGGTTAGAGAGGCAGGAGATGGGGGGATGGGCCGAGGAGGAAGGAACACCCCCAAGTCTACCTCCCTGGACAGGACCCCAGAAGTCAGGATGGACTTGGGAGGGGACTGCCCGCAGTCAGGAGAGGGTCCCACTAGGGGCTGGCGGCCGGCACCCTTGGGTCCCCACTGGCTGCGGAGGCCTCAGGTTTCCCACTCAGAGAAGGCCTGTGGGCTGGGCCTGCAGGTGAAGTGGGGCCTGGGAGCCGTCCCCTCCCTTCCACACGGACATCCACTTGGGTTTCCTCCCTGACCTTTCCTCACCTGGGCCCCCTTGCTGAACTTGGGCCTCGGGCAGCCCCTCCGCCGCTCTGCCCCTTCTGGATTCTTTTCTCCCTTTGCCCACAAGCTCTACTCTCATCTTGCTTGTACTCTAACCCCAGGCTGCCGGCTGCCCTGGGGTCCCCCCGGTGGAGACCCTGGCCCCCCCATGGTGAAAGTGATACCACTTCTTGGGAAACAGAAGACCCCCTGGTGAAAACAGGAGGCAGGTCCCTCTCCTGCCCGCAGGCTGGAGGTCAGCAGCCCAGGGGCTCCATCTTTCAGGCGAACTCATGGCTGAGTGAGCCTCCCCTGGGTCCAGCACCCACCCAGCATGGTCCAGGCCCGTGGGGGGCGCTCCAGAGCACAGCTGCCTGCCGGGTCTTTGGGGGCAGCCATGACCCAGCCTCCGCCCCGCAAAGCGCCAGCCAAGAAACACGTGCGGCTGCAGGAAAGGTAAGACCCTTCCCGGCCCTGAGTACCTCCCTCTGCCCCTCCAGCCCCGACAGGGGAGTCAAGAGAGCCCTAGGCTGTTAACTGCAGTCTGCAGAGGAAACCCACCCTGCTCGTTTGCGTGTCATTTGCATGCCCTTTACATGTCTGGGACACAGAGTTTCATGTCAACCTTGTCCTTGTTCCAGCTTGGGTGGCGGGGCCCCTGGAGAAGGGCCACCTGGGGTCTGGATGTGGGCCCAGCTCTGGGGGGCAGGTGAGGAGAGGGGCAGGTGGGCGGCTGGAGCGAGCAGCTGGGCCCCGGCTGCCCTGTTCTGTCTGACAAGGGAGAGGAGCCCAGAAGGGGCCCAAGCCTTGAAACTCACTGGGCCCCGGGTCAGGGAAGACGAGAGGCCCCCCCAGACGTGCTCCTTGACAGTGAGCACAGCCGAGGTCACGGCGCTCACGGGGCACTGGCTGTCTACCTGCAGGCGGGGCTCCAGCGTGGCTCTGGTGCTGGATGTACGGTCCCTGGGGGCTGTGGAGCCCATCTGCTCGGTGAACACCCCCCGGGAGGTCACCCTGCACTTTCTGCGCACAGCTGGACACCCCCTCAGCCGCTGGGTTCTGCAGCACCAGCCGCCCAGCCCCCAGCAACTGGAAGAGGAGTTCTTGGTAAGAACTTGGGGTCCACCCTGCTCTCCTGAATCAGAGGCAGCCTGCTGGCACCACTCTATTCTGGGCACCGCAGGCAGGCCTCCTCTTTGGGCCTATAGGGAAGAGGGCCCTGGGGCTCTAGGGAGGAGACGGCCCCACACTTCTCCTCTGCCCTCCATCCGCCCAGACCCACATGTAGCTGCTGGGAGGGGCCCAACAGCCAGGGCCCAGCTCCACCAGGAAAAG